TATGACTCCATCCCAAGTTCACAAGTTGGCAGTGCTTTCAATCAATGTTTTTTTTAAGCAAATTACAATAATTATTATATAGTAAGTGTCGTGGTTAGCACGTCCAGGTAATGACAAATGCTTCTACTCGCATGACGCGAGCATGATGAGTCATTGACATGATGATGACAGGATAATCGCCGTTCAGCCAACCGTAATTTGCTTTTCCTGGGACAAGCAAGTTTCAGTTTCTTCCAAAGATGTCTACAGGCTGTCAATTTTCTTCTTCCCCCTCCACTACCCCCTTGTGCCGGCGGTCAATACATCCGCTGCAGTTTATACTTTATCACACGCGCTTGACGGACTTTCAAGAGAAAAACAGAGGGTCTATGAACAGGCTAGAAGATTGTGGCCTTACCTCCCTTCTCATAGTGGCAATGATGGCAGACTCGGCGGACTGCCTAATCTCAGGTTGTTACAAAAATCCATTTAAGGGTTAAGTACTATTTCTAATCAGGTGAACTGGGTCATTCTAATGGCATCTCAAGCTAACTGTGGTTTTATGTTGTTCAATATGATACCTCTCCAGGAGGGGAAATTTCTTAACTTTGACTGCTCTGTGCCTCCAACTAAAAGGGGAAATTTAGCACCCTCACAGGGTGCTTTACAAAGTCCCCTCTGATGATAGGTGCAATAGTACCATCCAGTGTGGGACAGTTCAATTCTTTGACGAGTATTACCGGTAGTTGAAAGTAGTCATAATTTAAAGTATAAAAATTGAAGCTTAAATTATCAAGTTAGATAAATAGAGCTAGATTTAAGACTGTTCTCATGTTTATGTCAAATATTCAGAATGCACAGTATCTAACAAATGCCACTGAGGTACCTGCAGAAAGTCTAATCAAAGTTTAGTTATTGTATTAACTTCCTAGATGTACACATATATAGGCTTACCTCAATGTCTGTAACATCGCCTGTATAATTTGTTTCACACAAAAGTTTGGGTTCGTTCGTTACGTTATAGGCTGCTGCCGAATCTCCAGGTGGCTCCTCGACTTTCCAGACGCACAATTTATTAATCTAAGGTGGAAAAATGAAACGGGAAATCGAAAAACCTTTAAAACGTACGATTCGTGTGCTGTCAAACTGTTGAGTACGCTGTGATTTTCCTTGTTTCACAACCCGATTACTTGCCTGGTCATCCCAGCCTCCCGTCACAAAAGTCTCAGATGGATTTAACTGTCCTTGTACTTGAGGCATCCATCGAACTTTTGAGATCTTATGGCCTACATACTCCGCTACAGTTTCTCCAACATTCGCCATTGCAAAAGATTTTCTTTGCACATGGCGCGCAAACTACCGACTGAGAAGTTCCAGTCCCCTATCTTCCCACATACAGACCAGATTGAATTACATGAAGTACTTACCCTCCTCAAACTATATTTCGGGACCGCTAGACATCGCAGGCTCCGAAGGTTTTTCAAGATGGCGTCCTTTGAGAAAGCTAAAAAGTCCTATCAGAGATTTCACAAGGAAAGAGGACAGGTTAGTGAAGAGAAGACAAATTTATGTGATTAACTAATTTTCAACAGGCGGCAGTATAATATGGAGCGAGAATTCGATAAATAGTCAAGAATTAAGAGTCGGAATCAATCAGGAAATTGATTAATTTCAATTTTCAGTGGACAAATAAGACCTTGTACCAGAATAATTTAAACAATATCGCATTCTTTTTTACATTTTTCAATGGCTATATATATCATTAGTTATCTGCAATAACACCATAGAATATTTCTCATGTGAGACGTTTGAAAACAAGTAAAATTCTGAAAATTTCATGTGTAGGATGTCATTTTGTGAAATTTGACATTTATTTTCTCGGGCTCTCATAAGAAATTTTCTTTGGTGTTATTACAGATAACTAATTACACTTATGACCCTTGACAAATGTAAAAAAGAGTGTGATATTGTTTAGACTATTCTGGTACAAGGTTTTTGTCCCCTGAAAATTAACATTAAAAAGATTCCATCTTAACCCATTCGCCCCTGAACCGCCCGTAACCGCCCGTGCGGATCCAGGTCCTTTCTACCCTTTGTGACGTCATCAGTTTTAACGGTCAAGGACAACTTTCTTCGGTAACTTGTGCAGAGTGAAGAGATCTTTCAAACCATACCAGAATGACCACAATTCAGTCAAGGACACCGGAGAAAGAAGCAAAAAACCACGTGACAAGGACCTGAAAATCTCCATGAAAATCTTGTTCCATTACCCACCTACCTTTCCTTTCACCTAATCCTAAGATCCTAAAAGCTTTCCTAAAAACTCTTCCCACCAAAATGAAGCCTACTAAATG